TCCCGTTGCCAAGTCAACTTCTGTCCACCGCGAGCCTTGCGCCACCCTACACCTGGTAGACTAAACAAGGTCCTCCTAGGTAAGCGGTGACCAGGCATACGTAGCACGTGCCCGAGCCAACGCAACTTATTTAGTGCTATCTGTTGTTCTAGGGAGCTGGCATGATTATCACCACCTAGTACTCGCCTATGCACATCATCGTTGCGGACACGCTAGTGCCATCCGACTCCACCAATGCTTCGCAGACAATGATAATCCAAGACTTGAAGGTGCCTCAGCTCTTCGGACCGAAGCGGCCAAGTATCACTACCATAGAGCAGAACGGCCCTCACTGTGGCCTTGTATACACGGCCTTTCAGACAAAGGGAAACTCCTTCTGTCGCCAAAGATGCCGCAGGTTCAAGAAGGCAGCTCTGGCTTTTGCAATTCGTAAGCTGACGTCAGTTTCTATGTGCCCATCATTGCTGACGCAGCTGCCAAGATAAGTGAAATGATCAAGCAACTCGAGTTCCTCGTCAGCAAGCATCAAGGGGTCATCAAGTGGCTGGTGGTTCTGCAGTAACACTTTGCACTTTGAAGGTGCGAAGTACATACCAAATAATGGGACCACCCTGAACAGGCTATTCAGGATTGATTGTGCCGCCGCAAAATCGTCGAAAAGCAAGACGATTTCGTCCGCATAATCTAGGTCAACTAACCTTTCATCACGCAGCATTTCAACACCTACATCATGAGATTCCGCAAGGGAACACTCCATGATAGAATCCACGACGAAATTGAACAAAAATAGGGAAATCGGACAACCCTGACGAACGCCACTTGTGGTCGGAAAGCTATCCGATAGGACACCGTAAACCCTGACGCGGCCTGTAGTGTTCGAGTATAGAGCACGAAGAATGTACACATATTTCGTGGGAACACCTTTCCGCACAAGTATTTCGAACAGAATCGATCGATCGACTAAATCGAACGTACTCTTGGAATCGAGGAACACAGCTATTGTCGGTCTGCGATATGTGTGGCGCTGCTCTAGCACCTGCCGCAGAGTGAACATATGGTCTATACAGCCACGTCCTGGGCGGAAACCAGCCTGCTCTTCCCTAATCCGAGATTCCCGTTCCGAAGTGAGGCGACGATCGATAATCGAGGCCAATAATTTCGTCGCAATTGGCGTTAGGCTAATACCCCTGTGATCAGAACAGTCTGTGCGACTGCGCTTCTTGTATATTGTCGCTATAATCGATTCGCTCCAATTAGCCGGGATGCTCTCTTCGTTCCAGACACATTCGAGTAAGGAGGTCAGTGCTTTGCAGAGGACCTCACCTCCATCCTTAAATAATGCAGGTGGGAGGGAATCCGGGCCAGCAGCATGAAAACGATTGAGGACTGTAATCGCGTTTCGGACCTCGGCCTCCGACGGGGGCTCTAAACTAACCGTCCATGGCTCGTCCTGCATCACCTGAGTAGGAAGAGGTCCGGGAGCAGGAGGCCAACTGAACTGATATTCAAAGTGTTCAGCCCAACGAGCCATACGGCGCTCATTATTGTGTATCTGCGCACCCGCGCTGTCTCTGATTGTCTCACTGACGCCGGGTTTTCTGGGACCAGTGGTGCGAATAAGCTGGAAGAGCTTGCGGCAATTGCCTACCGCCCCTGCCTCCTCCATTTTTTGAGCCCGACTGGTCCACCAGGCTTCCTTGTTAGCATGCAGGCTCCGCTTTAGTTCCCGCCTAATAGTCCGTCCGGTCACATTGTGTTCAGAGCCAGCCGGGAGGTGTCTTCTAGATTCCAACAGGTTCACCGACCTCTCGGATATCCAGTGACTGGTGCGGTGACGACTGATAGTGCCACAAACACATGCTGCTGCGTCGTGCATGGCGGTCGAGATCCTACTCCACTGAAGTTCAGTGTCATTAGGACAAGACAGCGAAAGTTCGTTGCGCAGTGCGTCTTCATAGGCTTGCCTGACCGAGGACTGAGACAATTTCTCAGTTGCCAATCGTAGGGGACGCTTGGTGCGCCTTCCGGTAAAGTTCATGGAGAAACGACAACGTACCAAGGCATGATCAGAGTCGACACAGGTACTCCAGTACGAGCGGAAATCCAGGATGAAACCAAGCCACCTGCAACCTATGGCTATGTGATCAATTTGGTTCCATTGCTGGTCAGCTAGAGGAGGACGCCAAGTGGCACTTCGGCGCCCATTGTGTCTAGAAGTAGTGCTACTAAGAAACAACTGGTGCTCTGCACACAATTGCAGCACACGCCCACCGTTGTCAGTCCGTTCGGAGTTAAGCCCACAATTACCACCCAACTGAGCTTCTGAAGAGCTCAGACGCCCTACTTGTGCGTTCATATCCCCTGCAAGTACTATAATATCTAAACTAGTAGCACCGCGTAATAGAGCATTCAGTTCGTGATAGAATGTGTCCTTGACAGCATTTGAACTGCAGTCTGTGGGAGTATAAGCAGAAATCACAAACGGCGTTTTGCACTACTACGTGAATCAACCTTAGCTGATGTCAGCAAACGGGCCGCACATAAACGGCTGTTCAGTGGAATCCAATCAACCAACGATGGCTCAGCCTTGGAGCTTAGAACGATACCTACACCAGCTTGACCCGTGAGGGCTGCATCGAGGTCTCAGGATGCGTGCAACCAATAACGAGAGGACAAGCCGGGTGCAGTTAATTCAATAACCCCGTTAGGGTCATTGATCCTAGTTTTCGATACACAACACACATCCATACCCAGTGTGTCCAAGGTGCGTACGAGTGCAGCCTGTTGACCTGTTTGTCTTAGAGTGCGAACATTGAATGACGCCATAGAAACGGGATAGCGTGGCCTTATAAGGGACTTTTGCCGATAGGCGTCCGATAGGTGCTGTGGAATGGTGGCAGCAGATGGTTATACTCCAGTGGCATTTCGGTTGCTGTCAATTAAGCTGGGAATTATAGAAGGAATATTGGTAATGGGGGTCGGGATGGGATTCGGAGAAAAGGGTGGAAAAGAAAGAAGGGAGGTGCCAGCAGTAGCAAGTTTTCGCTTATCTGCTCTGCAGTATGCAGCAGATAAGACGACCCTTGATAAACTGCGCGACGGCCGATGCAGGATGAAGTTTATGTTTGAAGAAAATGTCATGGTTGAATGTGGGCTGAGATACTGCCAGGGCGCTCAGACCTAGACAGGATGACGATTAGGGTCCTCATCCAAAGACTTTGGCTCAAAAGCCTGTCCGCAAGGCAGTGTATAGGTGACAATGATTTAGTTTTACAGAAATGGAGGCATCCCATTTCAAACCCCCAACCTGGAGGACCAGGAGACTGAGTTTGCCTGGCCTCACTATTGACCAACCTGGTAGGAGTTGCTCTCAAGGTGCCCGGAAGCATCACCCAGTATAGCTCAATGGGTCAATGAGGTATGCAAACCGTCGCACCACGTTAAGGTCCAATCTCGTTACGACGGAAAAAATATGGAACGCTTCACGATTTTGCGTGTCATCCTTGCGCAGGGCCATGCTAATCTTCTCTGTATGGAATAATAATAATAATAATAATAATAATAATAATAATAATAATAATAATAATAATAATAATAATAATAATAATGTGACAGCTGTACGCCGTAACGGCGCTTCGCTGCCGCGCGACAACCACCAGTCGCACGCGGGCTGAGTATACCGCGAGGACGCCCACCCCTACGCGGATTCGAACCGGTGACCTTATGGTTGCAAAGCAAACGTGCAGACCACTCGGCCACAGACCGGCTGACATATCCACGAGAGCCACATGTCGTCCAACTAGCAGTCTCCTGAAAACTCAAACTGAATACAGTGTAACAACTGCGGAAAACGTACGAAACCAAAGTAACAGAACTACAAAGTAACTAATGCCTCTCACAGGGCGAGACAACAGTACGGCGATTGACTGAGATGAGACGAAAGGTATGATCGCGGGTCGATTGAGGCGGTGTGCGCAAGCAGTCAAAAAAGCGGAACACTGATGAACATCGTGCTTATTGTCCCGAGAGCCTGTACGACCAAACGCTTCAAAAGAGCACTAAGTTCGCGGCAAACAGATGTATTTTAGCTGTTGTAAACCCAGTTCAAAGTGTACCACCAACATTATCAACAAGAGCACATCAACGAGGTAAACCGATACATTGGTATCAAGCGCGTATGGTGAGCGTCGTAATGCGTAGTAATAACAAGGGAAGGTGGGGGTAGCACAAATAATAAATGTACCATGCAAGCATTCAGAGCCAGGGTACCTACACCTTGTTAACAACTTGCGAGTCATAGTGAGATATACCACTCTGTCGAATCGACTACGTACGATACGTACGAGTAATAACCATGCCACATTGCGAAATTCTCTAGTGAGTTGTCTCATTATACTGAAGGTGTTAAAGAGATTTGGTTTACAACAATCGTCAGAAACATTGATAGAAGCTGCTACATATAAAAATATGAACAGCTAGAAGCACACACTCAGCTTACCCTCTTTGAACCGATACCCATTAAAATTGTGCCTATGGAACTCAAAATTCCCTACTCTATTCTTACGGCTCCTGAATTTTACTAGACAGAAAATCGGAAAACAGTAGTACACGATATTAGAGTGAATGATCCTATGGAAAATTCATGATCTGAAATACTAGCTTTTATCAGTTGTTTTTAATATTATGACAATACTTCCGTGTCCGGCTTAGGAGCCGTATACCGCTTATCGATAAATATACAAATTTATTTATTTAACATGTGATCACAAGCAGCTGGCTAATAAGGCGGAGCAGTTTTCCTGTGGCTTACACGGCCCCGCATCTGAACTTGTCTAACCTCAGAAACAATTTAGCATTACGCACACTTTAAGCAGTCGATCCGGTGTGAGAAAATAACTAGTGCGTCAATAGTGTCAGCTGTTTGTCATGTTCAGTAAAGTTACGGGCCATGTGAGTTCAAATGGTGAATAGCACAACGATTATCAGACATAATCACGTACTGGTAGTTGGCTCAATACCATATCCAAATCGAACAGCCTCTGACGCACCTGGCGAGTGCAAATCTGTAAGGGTGAAACAGTGAGACTTCTAAGTCACCAAACAGACGTTATTAGTACAGAGAAGCATGGAAAATAGTGCGGGAAGTGAAGTGTGCTATAAATGAATGCAATCGATTGTGCGATACAGTTCAAACTATAAGGTATGGGTGGTAAAATCAAAAGAAAGGAGAGAACGCCATTGTACTATTAAGTGCACGAAGGAATCCGCTTGAAATCAATGTCATCGGTATGAAAGAAAAAAAGGTAGAAAAAAAGGACATTGGTGTGCAACACAGAGAAAGGGAACAGCAGACAAAGGAGGACTCATTTATCACATGGTGGGGGTGGTTTCTATGGAAGTGCAAGTACGCGCCAGGTATGCAGACCTAAGTCGATGGTGGTGTAGAGCCGCAAAGCTAACTAATAAGGCCATAGGAGATGGAAATTATGAGGTAATCGGTTCGGACGCGAAAGTGCGCCCAGTAAGCGAGTGACTCGAGACAAGATAGGCTTATTAATGTGTTGGTGTTCGGCGCTGAAGAGAGATTAAGCCAGCGACAGTGTCTCAGTATCATGTGCCGATGTCTCGTTGTCACCTAAACGTAAGTAGCTGTGTAGGAGTGCCCGAAGCCATAAAGGGCTGTGAACTCGAAGTCAGGGTATGGAGGTCACATGCGGAAAGTCCTCAGCACTACACGATGATGCACAAAGAGGACAAGGCGAGACGAAGATAATGAGGAAAGCTAATCATCGCATATTCGAAAATTCCACAAGCGAGCGACAATGAAGACAGAAAGCGGATGACGGCAACAAGAGTGGATGCATGATGACCATCGATAGGGAGCGTCGACAACGAAACGCGTGCAACGAGGACATGCCCAAAGGATATGAGCTCAATGCTTCGATGGTAATCACACTTACGCCCCTCAGCCTATGTCCTAGTGCGCGGACGTTTACCTGAGTTGTGTGCGTGTTAAAGTTGTGGTTTCAGGCAAAAATATCTAAGTAAGACCAGAATGCAAAAGTACCATTTCGGAAAAGTTCCTTCGTCGTTTATGGATATATAAGACAAAACGAATCGTAAACGGTCTAGAAGAATAAAGGAGTGGTCGTGTGTGTCGACCGACATGAAGCTATGACCCAGCCAGAGTGCAAAAGGCATTTTGCGATACCCAAACTGTAACCGTCCAGATGTATCGAAAAACGTGAATGGAATTTGATGCGTGAAACAACTCTGTTTGCAATAAATGTAGCGAACTGTATGTGTAGCTACTAGGCTATGGTGGGTCAGATGGTGCATCTCGTGAATTCGCGCGCATGTGGTGCTCCGAACACAAAGGCCCATAAGTCGTAAAGAGATGCAGTAGAAAAAGAGTCAACTTCGTCAATCAAATCGTATTCATTGACTGATAGACAAAGTGTGAAACTCGGTGATGGAATGAGCGTAATATAATTGTCAAGTAGCCCTCATGCTTCAAGTTGCGATGCTTAACGAACTCTGTTGCTATGTGCGTTTCCCACAAAGACAGTACACCAGTCCCGGACGCCTCGTCCTGGTGACCGTTGAGCTAACACCCAAGAAATATCCGCATGAGTTACTTGACTCAAAGCGTATTTTCCGCTACAACAGGTGAAGACGCCCTGGCAACATATCAGTCGAACCATAAACCATGAATCGTACAACTACACATGATTTCAAGCTGCATCAGTTGTTGCGGAGTATGGAGAAAAGGGTTACACTGTGTGCTATATATAACGGGGTGAATAAGCGAAAAGGTACTGATGCCTCTCTTCTTTATGCTCCCATTTTGGCCCTCATTTGTTTCTGATGTAATTAATAATTAATGTCGGATGCACGCTGTAGCGGCGCTTCGCTGCCATGCGATCAGCACCAGTCGCGCGTGGGCTGAGTATATCGCAAGGACGCCCGCTCCTACGCGGGTTCGAACCGGTGACCTTATGATTGCAAGCTAGGTATGCAGACCACTCGGCCATTGGCCGACTCCTCACCTTCCCCAAACCTATCTCACTGCACAAAGCACTCAAAATCGAGTGCTGGAATTTGCGCACCTTACTTGACCGGAACCGGAGTGAGCGTCCCGAGCAACGCACGGCACTGGTCGCGATGGAAGTTGCTGGATATCACAGTGATTTTGTTGCGCCCAGTGAAACTCCGCCGGCTGATCAAGGCAAACTGCAGGATGATGGCGTTGGCCGCACCTTTTACTTGGTGGGAAACGCCACCACAAAACCACGTGAAAAAGGGGTTGGCTTTGCACTATCCGACCGAATAAATGGTCACCTGGTGATAGAGCCAACGGGCATCAGCTCAAAATTGATGACATTTCGATGAGGCAAATATGCAGCTTTTATTAACACGTACTATCCCATCATGTGTTAAGCTGATGAACAAAGGATCAATTCTACTCTCATTTGTCATCCAAGATATGGTCTGCGCCGAGAAGCGACCGGCAACTTCTACTGGGTGAATACAACACGTGCGTTGGCGTAAGACCGCGGTGTGGACAGACATATTCTGACCGAATGATATTGTTATAGCTAATAGGAACGGTGACCGGCTGCTTTCACTGTGCGACACTAACGGCCTGACGAGCATGAACACACAGTTTGCATTGTGTGCGAATAATATAGTTACATGGAAGCAAGCACGGAGTGTACACGATAACCTGATCGACTCTGTCATCGTACGACAGCAAAACATGCGTGAAGTGCGTATGACACATGTACTGCGTCGAGTTGATTGTTGCACTTATCACATGTGATTAAATAAAATACAACGATAACGAAAGTAGGAGAGACAGAGAGAAAAAGGAAGCGTTAAACTTTAGTTAAGGGAGTAGTATCACAACATGTTTGCTATTGCACACGGTCTCTTGCCATGTCCGACAGGGTTTCCAGCCATGTGTGCTCTTGATATTTTTACCCGACCGTGGCCAAGTTTGAGAGCAGCGCCCTCATACTTTTGGCCCAGATCGTTCGCCACCTTTTCTTCGCTCCCAGTCAACTTCTGGCATGCAAAGTGCACGGCGAGGCAAACGCTTAGTGGGCATGCGAAGCATGTGGCGCAGTCACCGAGGCATGTGTAGAGAAATTATGCGGCTTATCGGCTGGCAAAGTCTGGCTGATCTGAAAATCCTTCGAGTAACACATTCATTACCAAAGCGATGTTACCACTGTACGCCAGCATAGCACCGAAGGTACCAGTGCTCAAAAACAGGCAATCTCTGAAAGTCCTTTGTAAGAACAGATCAGGTCTCGCAACCATAAGACAGTTTTTACTGCGGCATTGTAGACTAGGCTAGTCACTGAAAGATTAAAGTCGCATCGCCGCCAGAGATGGCAATTAGCAATAGCAACCAGGACATAAGAGACGCGCAGAGACCTCATCCGTTAAACCGATAGTGTTGATGCAGCTTCCGAGGTAAACAAAGTTGTTTACCACCTCAATAGAATAACCTGGAATGGTAAGGGTAGGAGCAGCTCCCAACCAGTCCTGTAGGAAGACCTTACGCTTTGAATGAGCGAAGGTCATTCATAACTGGGAGACAGACACTTCCAACATACACAGAACACTTTGGGCGGACTGTGAGGAATAGAAAAGTACGGTGAGGTCGTCTGCATACTCCAAATCTCAAAGTCGGTCCCCCCGGAAGCAGCTCAGCGTCGTTGGATCCCCAGTTCTCAATACCGATCTCCAGGATGTCGTAAATAGCACAACTGAACAGGAACGGTGATGCTGGGCAGTCGTGGCGCACGCCACCGGGGATACTAAAGGGGGTAAAAGTCCACCGCCGTGTACGCCCAAGTTGCCCTGTTTCACCTTTCCTCTTCAATTTTGCCACCGAAGATGTCGTCCAAGGAGCATTGGAAGGTGTCCAGAACTGCAGTGTTGAGCTCCTCCCTGGAGACAGAGTCACGAACTTGGACTACGCCGATGACATCGCCTTGCTGGGGGACGACCCACAAACCGTCCAGAGCACTTTGGACCGCTTAGCGATGGACGCGTCGAACTAAGGCTTATGCTTCACTCCGGGAAAATGTAAAACGCTGCTCCAGGACTGGCAGGTGCCTGAACTCGCGCTCATCACTGCTGGACATTTCTTGGAGCAAGTCCCTTGCTTTAATTATCTAGGGAGTTGCATCACGGCTGGAGGCGGCGTTGGAGATGAAGTCTTACAACGGATCGCAAAGGCCCGCCTTGCAGTTATTAAACTGAGACACCTATGGCGTCCTCGTGATGTGTCTCAAGCTCTAGGGTAGGGCGTATAACGCCTCTGTCCGTGCAGTACACTTGCACGGCTGTGCGATTTGCCCTATTTGCTCAGAAAACATGAAGCGGCGGTAAGTCTTCAACAAGCGCTGTTTATGAAGGATCGCT